AATATCTGAAACATTTTATGTTAAGTTGTATATCCGATATGGAAAGAATCTTTACCAGGAAGCATGACATGCACCCTTTGCTGTTCTAGCGCATGTAACATTAACTTCATCCAGAAGTTTTAAGAGAGTAGCTTAACATAAAAACCAGCTCGAACACAGTTATTTTAATGGCCTAGTCAGTGTGTGATGTTCTTTGTTTTGAGGTTTTGGATTTTTTTTTTTTTTAAAGTAATAATCTTGGAGTACCTCTTTGGAAGGAGATGGTGCAAGTTATGGGATTACCTTGTTTGAAAAATGGTGTCTGGTTAGAAGTGGAGGATGTTAGGAGAGGAGTTTGTTAGCGAAGGAAAAACTGATAATTACTAAATATTCCATGAAAATTCGGAATTAGAAAGTATTATATAAAGCAAATTTGACTGATTTTTTTTTTATTGTATTGAAAATCCATTTAATATCAAGTAATTTGTTTAGCCACACTTTTATTGGCTACAACTTTGATTTTCCTGAAATTAAAATTTTGCAATCCTATGTTGAACTATTACATAATGCTATTGGGAATGATAAATCTGCTCATTGATTTCCTAATTTTATTATGTACACAATTAATTGTAATCCAAGATTACAGCAAACAAGATGTTAATTTCTAGACAACCTATGTACATTTCCCTCTGTGTGATTGGTACAAAAGTAAAGAATACAGAGTACCATTTGTGCTATCCTCACAGGAGCTGTCAATAAAAGATGTAATAGGGGATTTAGGAATCTGGAAATGGCCAACTAATTTATGTGAATCTATTTTATTTCAGCTAGAAAGACTGAGGTCTGTTTCGTCTGCACTGCATATTGCAGAGCACAGGCTGTCTATAGAAAACCAGGCGGCTGCATATGGATAGTCCCTTGATATCATTCACTTGCTGTGTAATCTTATTATGCAAAGTTCTAATCTTCACCTAGAATGAATGCCTCTGGGTCAGAATATAGTCATATCAGGGGTTTTGAGGTCATGTTTTGTGATCCTTAGCTTATTCTTCTAAGTAGGGCCGGGATTTAAAGAGTATTCCCCAGACACTAGCAGAGATAGATGGCAAAACCTGCTGCCTTTTTGGAAGACAAGACCAACATGAGGTCCCTGGTAGGATTAAACTTGATTTGTAGCTGTAGGATTTTTTAACAGATGTATTATTGGACAGGGAATAGGGGGCCACCAGCACAGTGAAATTGGATCACGATTGGCATTCTCAGGGAGTCCGCTGGCTGCTAAAACAGCAGCTGCATGTGGATTTGACTTCTTTCAGGTGAAGCGACTTCCAGTCATTTGGAAAGGATGGGATGAAAAGGAACCTTGGTGATAATTTTGATGTCTGCAAGATTTAGTACCAATGTAATGGGATTATTGGTAACACCTTCACTGAGAAAAAGCCACCTGGTGCTATAACTGGCAGCAACTGAGAACTAATCCTTTCCCATCTCTTGGATGTCATTCATGAGGCTCAGAGTGATTTCCACCCTGCTAGCTGTGATTAATTTTATAAACAAACAAACAAACAAAAAAAGCCCCAAACGATGAAGGCATAGGCTATGGAAGTAAAAGGGAACAAAAGATAATAGTAATTACATTTTACATTTTATTTGCTGCAGGAGATAAACTATACAGTTCTTGTAAAATAACCAAATTGTATTCTGCATGATAAATACGGATGTGTAACCTTTTTTAATCAATGTCTATGTTTGGTATAAAAACAGTGCCTATTCAGTATGATGTTTTCAGCTACCTACTATATGATAGTAGTAGTACCTGGAAGTAATTATAATAGGTTTTATGCTGTTAGTTCTGTGATAAAGATGTTTATACAACAGAACCATTAAGTTTTCAAGGGGCCTGTGACTTAAATCATTTGTTTTATTGTGCTTAATGGTCTTATGCTGTATCTGCTGGTGTTGCCTGCTGGCAGCACTTTGTATTAAAATTGTGTGATGTGGAAAGACATTCAGCCTTTTGTGATCAACAATATGGCATTGTTTTTAAAAGTGTACTGATGAATAATTTTCTGTGGAAACAATTTTATTTACTGGTGCTTAAGCAATTGTAAGATAAACTGTGTTGTTTTTAAAAATAAACTAGTTGTTTGGGTTTGGTGTTTTGACTGGGCTTACTCTGGACAACCATTTCCTTATTAACTAGAAGTTGTTACTTAAAATTATATGGAAACTTTCCTGATTGTAGTTACTCTGTGGAATGCACATTAGATGTCTAGGACCTTAATGTTAGAAATGAACCCCCAGTCCTCGAAAGTTATCTTTTTAGGTTCAAACTTTATAATGTAGGTGTGTGTGTATATATGTATGTATATGCCATAATTGGAAATTAACCTTCTTGAGTAAAAAAACCCCAAAGCCTTATATAAAAGCTATACTTTTTCATCATTATCATGAATATCTATTAAGCCTGAGCCTTAAAAAGAAAAAAATCCATTGTGCCACTTTTATTAACTGGGACTGGTGAAATACACATCTTGGAGGTTAAGTTTGTTTTAAGAGAACTGGGACCTCTTTGGTCCCAAATTTGAAACCTAATCACTCATGTTCTATTGTCATGGTGAGTTTTATATCATGACCACTCTAGCAGCAGGTAAAGCTCACTCTGAACCTTGTGTTCCTTGAATTATTTACAAATCTATCCCTCGTCATTCAGTTACTTGGAGACATTGGAGAGAAACAAATGTGTTCAGTTGTAATTATTGGGAGGTACATGTCATCCAGAGTCTAACAGGAAATCAGTTGCCATCAGTTTGAAACTCATTTTCAGAGATGTATAGCCATTGGTTTTGGTTTCTTCATAATAGAAAATATTTTAGTTATAGCTGTTGGCATGAGAGGTTTACATTTTCTCTTGTCTGTTACCATTCCTTTTGCTACAATCAACACTGCCTACCTCTAGTGAGTGTAATGCAAAGTTTCTACAATTCCTTCTGACCTATAAGATCCACAGATGCCTGAATTCTGTACTCAATATGTTAATACAAGGTTTCTGAGTAGCATTGACCTGAAATACGTGATGGTTGTGCAGTATTTGTCTGCCTCAACTGAGAAGCAATGCGAGATGGCCTTTCTAGCAGGTACTGTTAAGAAGTATTGATGACCAACTTCTGTCAAGATAGTTGTGGTCATTAATTCACGCTAGCCGGGTTCATCTGTTGTCGCTTCGTCTTCATTTTATCACCTGGAACATGTTTCTGGGCTCACAGTGTTTCAGGCCCTGAGACCAAGGAGTTGGTCTATGCTTTTCACAGCCTACTGGGTTGAGAAGAGCAACTACTCTTCTGGTTCTCCAGAATAAATTCTGCTGAAAGAGCGTTTTGCTTACAGTGAAGCTGGTTTAGTTTCTACATTGTGTGCTGCAGTATGCTGGGCACTGCATGTGCTAATGAAATATTTCAGGACTTTTGTTTTCTTTTGTATTTTGGGGTCATTACTGTAAAGCTTGTTAGCTAATACGAGGGATGATGAATTACAGATTGGTTTAATGGATTTATTCTGGAGATGTTTTATGTTAAATTTTTTGTAATAGGGAAGTGAGCTGGGTAGAGAGCAGTGCAATCTTTTTGGGTTTTTTTGTTTATAAATAAGTACTAAATGCAAAGAACAAAAGCCACTTTTGCCTGTATTCAGGCAAAGTGCCCATTAACTTCTGAGAGTGGGGGGATCTTTTTTTTTTTTTTTTTTTTTTTTAAAACTGCATTTATTTAGCAAGCATCTTAAATGAGGGAAATCTTGCTGCTGCTTTAGTTCATCATAAAGCTGATACTCAGTTTAAAGGGGGACATGTTTCTTGCAGAATGTAAAACTTGCTTCAGTTATACTCAGTTATGTATGTTTCACTTAAGGGAAATATATACATATATATAAAAATATCTTAAAAATGGAGTAAGGAAACATTTCAGTTAGGTTAGCATTGCAGGAATTAGATCTAATAATCAGAGTTTGACTTAAATACTTGGGGGACGGGAGTCAAGATATTTATAGTCTTACGTGCTGCAGAACTTACACCACTGTATTGTAGCTGAGAACAGAAGGTTCTAATGCCAAGCATTTTGTTAATGGAAGTCTAGTCAAATGAAAGGTTTGTAAAACCTTTAGAATCCATAATTGTATTCTATTCCTAGAACAGTCTTACTTACACTAGCCATTCAGGACTCTCTTAATTTTGTTTAGGTCTCATAGCCTTTTTTCATTTGATTGATTGCCAGGTCGCTTTTAAAGTTTTGGTTGACTACTTGATTACTCCAGTTTACTATGAAAGCAGCTTCAATTGTGAAATGTCTTTCAAATCACCTCAGATGGTTTAATGCTTGTCTGTTTTGCTGAGTCTTCAGTTTTAAATGCTAATGTTTGAAGACAGTGATTTGAGTTGCACTGTCTTTACCTGATTAAAACAACTCGATAGAGTATTATTTAATAAATAACTGCATCTGTGTTACAGTACATGGTCCAGTCAGGAAGGGAAATCCTGCATTCAAATGTACAATTAGAGTTTTCCACATTACATTCAGCCAAACCTAGTGGAGGGGAGGATGTGTGTGGAACTGATAACTGGCAGATATTTTGACATGTGGCAGATAAGCCTGTCTGCTATTTTGACTAAAAGAGGCCCAGCTGAGTCAGCAGAGAGCACTAACACCATTCTCTCCCATTAGCTTCTCTAGTTTGGTAAAGGTTATTTTTTGTTTCAGGTCCTCTTCAACTGAATCTCAGTAATAAGCTGGTGAGAGGGGTCTACTGATTGTACACTTGGAAGGTTCTGTGTAGGAAATGAAAACCTTTTTCATGGCCTTTGAGTTTAAACTGTATTAGTCTTCTCAGATACATCTGATTATTTGTTGGTTTTATTCACTGTTATTTTTGTTTTGTTAAATATTGTGTGTCAATTGTGAGATACAGAAGATAGTTTTGCAAATATTAGGTTGTTTGTTACCAAATGAATGACATTTTTCTGTTTTACTGTAGACCAGAACCAGCTGAACGACGTAAGGCTATACCATGCTTCGAAATGTCCTAGGAAAAACCTTTCGGTTTCTTGGGTATACTGTGCAATACGGCTGCATAGCACATTGTGCCTTTGAGTACCTTGGTGGAATTGTTGTGGTAACTTTTCATTTTCATGACATTTAAAAGAAATAAAACCGTAAGACAGATACTGTTATATGTGGTAATGCAAATACTTCAGGTTTCACTGTTACATGTGGTAATGCAAATACTTCAGGTTTCTTAATTTTCCTCAAAGCTTTTCCAAAGAGTGTTTAATAAATGTCTTTTTTTTTTTTTTTTTTTTTTTTTTTGGAGACAGGTCCAGACTTTATGAAAGTTCTTTCTCCTTTAGGCATTTGTATTTTTTGCTAAGTTACTGCTTGAGGCACCACTGAAGCAAATGGGAAACGATGATTAAGCATTTTTTAAGAGAGTAAGCATTCTTCCAGAGAGTTACTAATAATCACAGATTGGTTTGGGTTGGAAGGAACCTTAAAGCTCATCCAGTTCCAACCCCCTGCCACAGGCAGGGTCACCTTCCAGTAAAACATGTTGCTCAAAGCCTGTCCAGCCCGGCTTCTCTGGGCAACCTGTGCCAGTGCCTCAGCACCCTCACAATAAAGAACTTCTTCCTGATGTCTTATCTCAGGCTCCCCTCTGTCATTTTAACACCATTCCCCTTTGTCCTGTCACTACAGGCCCTTGTCAAAAGCCCCTCTTCAGGGGTTTCTTGTCAGTGCCTTTAGGCACTGGAAGGTGCTTAAGGTCTCCATGGAGCCTTCTCTCCTCCAGGCTGAACAAGCCCAGCTCTCTCAGCCTGTCTTCATGGCAGAGGTGCTCCAGCCTTCAGAGCATCTCCATGGCCTCCTCTGGACTTGCTCCAACAGCTCCATGTCCCTCTTGTGTTGGGGTCCCAGATTTGAATGTAGTCCTCCAGGTGGGGTCTCACTACAGCAAAGTAAGAAATGCTGTTGCTCCTAAGTCTGGGCAGATCTCTGTGCGTTTTATGTTCCCTGCTGTTCCTCCCCAGGTTCTAAAGTAGCAGAAACTGCTGCTAGACATAGAGGAGTTTGGCTGTGAGCTGCTCTTGCAGCTTCTGTGACAGTTCTTTTTTACAGAGCCTATAAAAAGAGCAGAGCAGAGCTTCGGGTACTGCTCCTACTGATTTCTGCAGATTAGGTTCTGAAATGAATCTGTAGGGGCTTGGAGCACCTAGTGCAGTTCAGGACCGGTCCTGAGCACATACGAAGCTGTAATAGAGGTGCTCTGGAAGCTGTCCTCATCTTTAAAATATATCAGATGTTCCTTGGAGGACATCACTTTCTCAGTTGGTCTTTATATTGCATCTTGTCTAATTTATTAGCAAATAACTTGAATGTTAATGTATTTTAGCTAAAAATAGTTGGAAATAGTAATTTTTTGTCTCATTTTTAATTTGCAGTGTTCTGGACCTTCAATGGAACCAACCATTCAAAATTGTGATATTGTTTTTTCGGAGAACCTTAGCCGCCACTTTTATTGCATTCGAAAGTATGCTCCTTTGTTGAGACTGGACTTTACATTCCATGTGCCAGAGCTTGTCAATAACCACATTCTGTCTGTCCTTTCTTTTTCATACATTCCTCTGCTTCTGAATTGTAAGTTTTCATAAATTGCTCACTGTGTCTGATGGAAGTTAAGGTGGTCATCACATACAGCCCATCAGACAGATTGTTGGAATTCAGTTTGGATATAGTCAATGTCACTTTTACAGCTTTGTCCAAAAAATGGATTTTTTTTTTTCCTTAAACAGTTCTATTGTGTGACTGTAACTTCTCCTTTCTAAGCAGTTTTGTCTTACTTGCAAGCCAAGCCATAGGTACTGCTGTACTCAGCTGGGTTGTTAGGACAGTGACCAAATGCACCTTTATTACTGTAAAGCACAGTAGGCTCAAGGCCCTTGCCCATTCTGTTTGGACCTGTTTCACTGTACAATCTAATGTATATAATCAGGAGGCAAAAGTAATATGAGGTCCTAGAAACCAGATTAGACATTTGGAGTTCCACTCAAAGATTAATATTTGGTCAGTAACATTTATGAACATAGAATCTGTTCTGTTCCATATTTATGTAGCAACAGGATCAGGTTAAGTGGCATTCATTTAATTAGAGGATTGTCAATTAAAATCTAGCCTTAAATGATTCATATATGATCCAAGTACGAAAGACTCTTTCCAAATGTGCTTTAAAAACTGTGTGTAAAATTACACCCAGAGTAAAACCAAAGAAACCAAAATTGTAGACCTGCATTTCCATCAGAAGGAAGTACCTTTAATGTATACATGAATATTTTTTGAGTATACAAATGTATTCAGCCAAATAGTTTGTATTTAGAGTTCTTATGTTTATTTTTGTTTCTGTTTTTTCCTCTCAGAGGAGATATTGTAATTGTGAAAAGCCCAAATGACCCCAAATCAAATATCTGTAAAAGAGTAATTGGCTTAGAAGGGGATAAAGTCTGCACAAGCAACCCTTCAGATTTCCTTAAGAGTCACAGCTATGTAAGTATTAGTTTCTTGCTTTGTAAAGTAACAATTACTTAAGTAGGCCTGGTAGTCTGTAAAAGATTTGCAATATTTGAGTATCATCATAAATCATAAAGTATGACATTTATAAATTATTCTTTCCTGTATATGTACAGTAAAATGTTGTGATTTGTAAACTCTGTTTATGGCAAGCTGTCTTTCTCAGTGTCTCTTGTCTCTGTGGGAAGTGTAGGCAGATGATGGTTTTGCTCTGCTGTTTGCTTAGGCCTTCTTCCCTGGAAAAATATGCTTAAGCTCTCTGCATAAAATGCAGTACCAATGGCAGACTCAAGGACTTGGTCTTAAGTCAAAAGTTTCTGTAGTCTTAAGTCAAAAGATTTTGCCTCTGTGATAGTTTTGAGGATTTTGCTGTTGAAATTATACTTTAGTGTATCTCTATATTTCAATGTAACGATACTTAATTTTTTGAGTATGGTTGGAAAAGTAGTGATTTTCCTAACTTGTCCAAAAAGTCAGGTAACACAATGAAATAAAGATTAAAGAATATTCTTAATGTTCACATGTCCTTATACAGATAGACTTAACAGCAGTTTACCAAGATTTGTGATAAAATGTCTTCAGCAACTTTTTAGGCTCTCAGTAGAAAAATCACCAGAAATCATGTTCACAGAAAAATGTAGCTGTTTTTCCCCCAAAGCATGTTTGACCATTACCTCTGTTCAGCACCTTATGGAGACATCAGACTTTGCATGGGTGTTTTGAATCTTAAAAGGCAAAAGAATTTCTTTCTTTTGTATCCACTTCCTCCTTACAATTAGAGTAAAAAGAATTAGCATCTGGTCCATAGCTGAAGTCCTGTGCTGTGAAGGTAGAGAATTTTATGGAACACTTGTTGCAGCCAGCTACTGTTTGTGACAGATCCTTTAAGAGCTGGCTGTCCTTATGGCTTCATTGGCATTAAGGAGCTGGTGTCTGTCCTTACTAAAATCAATGGTGAAATTCTCTTGTCAACATTGTGTCTAGATTTGGTGTTTGGATTTTAGTCACGACCTAGGACCATACAGCAAGGAAACGATTCATAGCCTGTTCTGAGGGATTGAATTTGTTTCTTCCGCTCCAGTGTTGAGGCAAGACATTTCAGGCACCTGCCTCTAATCTGCCGTCTAACCAAGTGCCAGCATTGTTAGAGCTCCTGTTTACATTTATGTCACTCATGGGCAGAAAGAAGGAAGTAATTCTCTGACACATTCTGAAGAGGAGGTCAGTGTTTAGTTTTTCCATAAATCAAATTGTGTTAACCTTTTAACCAAGGGAAAAAAATCCAAAACCAAACCAAAAATACCCCAACCAACCAAACCCAACCCCCCCAAAGAACCCAACACACCTTTCTTACCAAGTTGAAGACGTTTTCTGACTCCCATGGAAGTACTGTATTAGTTGAAATATGAACTTCCTAGAGCAGAATGACGTGAACCTGAATTCTGTGTACACAAACTGAGTTTCTCTGAGCATTTCATTTCTCGCTTGTCTTAGTCTTGAAAAGGAAATTTGGGAAAGATTTGTACTTGACAGGGTATCAGCCTTTCTGGAAACCCTGAGGGGATCAAATGAACATGCAGCAGAAGAGTTCCTGCCCGAGGTGCAAGATTTCTTGCCTTCCAAGTTTAATACAGAATGTGAGAGGATGAGGAATGCAGAGTTCATGTCCCATTTTCCTGTGTATGTTTTTCATACAGGCTAATGTGTGGAAATACAGCCAAGTGACATGCAAACTTTCTTGGTTCTTACATTGTTACTTGTATCTAGAGGGAGAAATGCGCTAAATGGAAATGGTTTCATCTGTTAGTGCATCCCCGACTGTACTGGTAGTTGAAGAGGTTCATCTTTCCATCTGTTCAGGAGACACTTCCTTTACAGAGTAAGAATATATTCTCAATGTACGTGTCTGCACTTTGTGTTCATAATTTATGCTGGATTATTCACTAAGTAAATGGTTCTTGTCAGAGTGGGGAAAAAGGTAATTGCCTGCTCAGATTCCTAGTTTTAGTGAATCACTGCGCTATGTGCTTTTTCTGTTAATTCAGACACAAGATTCTTCAAAACAAATAGCAGCAGCTGATGCACAGAGAACGGGCTGTTTGTTTTGTTGCTACTTTTAACCTGAGTTGGGTTTCTGAAAAAGAGATTGTTGAAACTGAGGAAAGGCCTTGGCTAGGATCTCACAAGTGAGAGAAATCTGAGTCATACTTGAATGCAGCGATTCCAGAGTGTGCAGGATCAGAGGATGGGTTGTTCTTATTACAGTTCACTGCTCAGATTTCCTTTCCTTGACTGTCTTGTCTCCTGTTTAGGGAAGTGATACTCTCATGTTTGCAAACTTAGTTTGAGGGAGTTAGAAACATGAGGGAGTTACTCTCATGTTTGCAAACTTAGGTCAGTACAGTAAATACAAGTATCAGATGTCAGAAAATATTACCAATTGGGTAGTTCACACCTCTGCTTCATTCCTTGCTGGTGCTTGCCAACTTAATGGTTAGGCATTAGGAGCTGGCCAGTTCCTGGAGATGTTAGAATAATGGCAGTACAGAATAATGGCAGTACAGCCTACCTAATGCAGCTGAGAGTGAAACAATGTCTGAGCAGCTGCTGCTTTTCTCACCCCCGAAGGAGAATCCTTACAGTCATGTTAGTAGGAATTACGGTTACTCTTCATTAGTGTAGGCACACTAATTACTTAGTCACATCAGTGTAAGCATATTTTACAGATACTAAGTTAGGGTTTTTTTTGTTCAGAAGCACTGTTGTATGTGATTCTTCTTCAGAAGCCTAAGAGAATGCTAAAATCAGATCTTGTTTCCAATCCTGTTTCATTCATGACTCTGCTTCTCAGGATGGCTTATGTATCGATAGGAGAATGAAGAACTCTGTTTACAGTTTGCTTTTTGTGACATTACACAGATGAGATACTTCGTTGCTGCGAACAACCAAGTAGATTAAAATCCAACCAGACAAACCCCACAATGAACCAACCTTCCAAGCTGAAATCAAAATGAAAAATAAAAGCATACACAAACTGAACAAGTTGTTCTCAAAAGAGGTATTTCAGTTAAGCAGCAGTGCAGTGTAGCAGTGGCAGTTATGTGGAAGTCTGTGTACTGGTATAAGAATACTTTTGCCACTATACTTAGCTAAAGTAATACAGCATGTGAAAAAAACCATTTTTGTCAGAGTGCACTTAGTGTAAGGCTGTACCAAGAAACTGTCTTTGATGAAGTTCATCAATTACAAGCTGATGGAACTAATCCCACGTATCAAATGGATTGGTATCAATTAAGCATGTGCTTAAATTAAAGTACAGAAGGAATGTCTTTACTTTGGACCCCTTATTGTACATGATGCTTCATGTGCTAGAGGCTGGAGTTTATCTGCAGAATAATCATGAGGGAGATGTTCCTGTTTACATGAAAAGTATAATGAAATTCCTCTTTTGAGTAAGCTCTTACGAAACTTAGTTTTTCTTTCAATTCAATTTCAATTGATACTTGGTATGGAATATGGCTGGCAGTTTTGCTGGGCTCTTTTTTGGGTTTGTGCTCAATTATGGTGTTTATAGATATAAGCAAATGTGTTTTAACATCTAAGAATGCATAACGTATTTTTACTGTATCAGAAGCAATGTGGTATGAACCCCAAAGTTAAAAAAGTAAACTAATTTTTAGTAATACGGAATTCACATATAGTTATAATTATTAAAAATATCTTTACTGACGTACTCATTTAACTATAAGATCTAAATAATGACGTTTAATAAGGAAATTATGAATCACAGTAAAGACCTGAAATGGCCTTTAAAAATATCAACAGAAAGGTTAATTTTCACATGTAGGTTTTTATTTCCTGTTCTTAAAAGTCTTAATAATACAGATCCAGATTTATAATTCAGATTGAGTATCCTATTGTTCTATTTGAATTTGTTTTAATGCCATTTACCTTAGCTTTAATTTCTTTAGTACCATATGTTCTTGTGCTGCAGCTCCTATTTACAAATTGAAAAAGTGAGGGATAAGTCATCAGATTAAAACAGCTTGTATGTCATAAACCACCGATATGCTAAGCCTTTGTGTCACTTAAACAAAAGTAGGACCTAATAATGTCACTTAATACAGCTAGAGTCTGTAAATAAGGAACTGCCTTTTGCAAGTCATGGTGATAAAAAGCTGAGATACAAATCCATATCTCAGCAACACTCTGCTGGCAATCAATCACAGCGCAGCACTAATGCTGTGTGACTGCCTGATGTGGGGGAAGTATGTTTACCCTGTGCTAAAAGGAGGTTCATTGCGGAGATGGCATCTCTTCATCCTGTGGTTAACTCTAGAGCTAACATAATTCCGAAGATAATGCATCTTACTGTGTTTGCAGACCAAGGAAGGGGTCTTACACAGTGCTATTAACTCTCGAACGGTCCTTGTCAAATGCAGTAAGAATACTGGGTACTTAGAGTAACATAATGTTAATGTAGACAACACAATATCTTCATCACTAGACAGTACTACAGATTTTGGACACTGAAAAGTGTTTTGATCTTCAGAATGCTCAATATCATTGGACAGTCTCTTTACAATACTCTAAATAGCAATTAAAAATCACATTCTCAGAACACTAGTTCTTTTTCTTTTGTATCTTAATAGCTCATTTACACTCATGGTTTAGTCACCAAAGTTTTAATAGTTCCTAGTCAGGAGAAAGGAAATGTCTTAATCTTTCTTCTTCTCCTTAGTTCGAGTGTTCTAGAGGTTTGAGAGGAAGCTATGCCGTAATTTTAAGCAGCACGTATGTTAAGTGTCTGATGGGAAAGGAAAACTGAGTTGGTGTATTTGTTTAGTTTGCAGATCCTTCTACATCCCAGTACAGAGTTCATGCCTAAAGCCATTCTTGAGTTTTCTGAGACATATTTAAATCAAAATTGTGATATGTCAAAACTAAATTATTCTAGGGAAAAGAAACACAAAGTT